TACACACATGTCAGATAGCAATGGAGCCTCACATAGTATCCCAAGATATGAATCAAGTTTAAACTTTGAGATTTCTCTCATTGTCTCACTAATAGAGTGTGTGCCACCACTAATAGACATTTACACCTTGAACCATTCTGTTCATCCTTTTTCGAACCCCAATGTTATGTTTTCTAACCCTAGTGTTTCTCTTTCTATATACTTTTCTCCATGCACATAATTCATATAAAATATAGCACATAACATGTAGCATTTTAAAGCACATAACATAAAATGTACAATGAATGCAATGATCTAGACCCATGCCTATCAAGCCCTAAGTAAATCGTATAACCTATGCTCTAATACCAAGTTGTGACACCCTAGAAATCGGGGGTCCTTAATTTAACAAAATTTAGACAGAATCTCCTTTGTTACGGGAAACTCTACCCAAAATATAACCTGTGCATCATACAATTACATGACCCATTCGAGGTCCAATATGCAACATTGACCACACTGGGTCCATTTATGACTAAACATTTATCACACCGGGTCCATTTATCCATACTTATATAATAACATGCAAGTTTACATTAAAAATAGTCTATATCAGTTCAATTACAATTCTTTTACATATATTACATACCCAAAAACTAACTTAGCGAATGTTTTACAAAAGCATAGTTTTTCACAATAGTTTTACAAAATGTGAATTAAAAGCCACAAGTCGAATTTTCTTCATCCTTAAGGCCCCAAGTGAGAGCCTTCCATCTGCATCTGTGTATATCCCACACCTGAAATGTTGTCCCCATAAAGGGTGAGCCATACATAATAGGGTAACTCCTAAAGAGGCTACTCCCCAACCTAGATGTATATGAAATGTCACATGCAACATTTAACAAGCAACAACCATCCCAAACAAGAATATGCAATTCAATGTTGGAATTCTACCATGTCAGACTTTAGAGTACATGATATGGGCATGCGTCCTAGATCTCAAGGGTAGCTAGAAAGAGCACCCACCCTTAGTGGAGTTCGCCTATAACAACAGTTATCAGGTGAACATACAGATGACACCCTATGAGGCACTATATGGGAGGCCTTGTCGTTCTTCAGTTTGTTGGACGGAGGTGGGAGATAGACCCTCTACGGGTCCAACATTGGTTAAAGACACCTCAAAGAAGGTGGACTTGATACGAAAGCGTTTTCTCACGGCTCAGAGCCGGCAGAAAAGCTACGCCGACAGACGGTGACGACCTCAAGAGTTTGAGGTGGGAGATTACATCTTCTTGAAGGTGATGCCTAAGAGAGGAATGGTCAGGTTTGGCAAGCGGGGAAATTTGTCGCCGAGGTATATCGGTCCCTTCAAAGTACTTGAGAGGGTTGACACTTTTGCTTATCAGTTGGCGTTGTCACCAAATTTATCGGGTGTTTATGTAGTGTTTCATGTCTCTATGCTCTAGAAGAATACTCCAGATCCGACACATGTGGTAGATTGGAGTGAGTTGATTTTTGATGCGGATGTGACCTTCAAGGAGGGACTGATGTGTATCATGGATAGTCAGGAGTAAGTTTTGCCAGACAAGACTATGAGGCTAGTGAAGGTGTTGTGGCAGCACCGAGGGGTGGAGGAGGCAACATGGGAGCGTAAGGACACTATACGTACTAGTTATCCTTTCTTATTCGAGGATGAAGGTACATTATTATAGTCATTTAGTATTATATCATTGTTGCATATGCATGTGGTTGAATGTGCATGTGTGTGTGAATTTCGGGGATGAAATTCTTTTAAGGGGTGAAGAATGTAAAACTCGAAAAAATTTAAAATTTTTATGAATATGAAATGAGATGAATTTTCTGTCTGAGAGCCAAAATCACATACATTGCGGGTTGTGAGGTGAAGCGGATCACAATCGTCGAAAGTGTCCAACGACAAACCATCGAGCTTCAACATCGGTCACTAACCATATGTAATTTCTTATTTTTTGTAACTTGTACTTGGTTTTAGTAATCTTTGTAGTGGTCGTTACATTTCTCATATGCTGCAAGAGGTTCACAGTGATCCCATTGAAAACCTCTTTATGATGTTCGTAATATTAAATGTATTATGCTTTATTGTAACCTTTATCACTATTTGAATCTATCATATTGCTATTTTATCTACTCTATTAACAGTGTAATTTATTATTGATGGTATGTTGGTGTTGTTGTAGATTTTACGTCTCAACTTGGCATACGTATGCCATGATGGATGGCGGTGACACGAGCCCCTGGACAAACCTCATCATCAACTATGGATATTGCTTCCACTTCATCACATTCAGATCCCACCACTTTTGTCTAGTCCCCCATCAGAAGCATGTCTACCTCCTACACCAGATGCCCCTGTTGTTGATCATGACGCTCCACCCATTGATCATTCTTTAGTGACACCTATAATATTGCACGTAAATATATATTTAAATAATAAAATTTTCATAAAATAATTAAATTAAATATTTAATTAAATTGAATAATAAATTATATATGAAATAATTAATTCTTATTTTAATTATTATTAAACTAAATTATTGATCTATTTTACCCCTTCTTTGAGTATTTAATCTATCATTTTTAGGTATCTAATTGAACCATTAGATATTTTCTCTTTTGTTTATAATGAAGCTTCAATATAAGATTCTCATTATTGAGTATTTACACATCTAATTATATTATAAATTTATTATTTTTTGTCAAATAAATAAATTAAATTATAAATACTATCATTTGTATTATAAAAATATGATATTATTGCATACCAAAAAATAAAACATGACATATATTTCACTATATAATATAAATTCGACAACTACATGTATATTTTAATAGAATATATATTATATTTTATTTCTTCACATAAATATAGACATAGATATAGAAAATTGTGTTCAAGTGTATGAACTACTAGTAAATAAGTATAAAAGAATTTAGAAATGAAATACTATTAATAAAAATGTCCAAAAGATTTAAAAATTCAAATAAGTATACAAAATAAAAACTTGATGAAAATAATAAAGAATTTAGAAGTCAAATACTATTAATAAAATAATATAAAAGAACTTAGAAGTTAAAAAAGTATAGGGAATACAAATTGGATGAAAGTAATTTATAGGTATCATTAACTTTACAATAATAATTAGGGACAAAATATAAAATCAAAAAAATTTCACCTGACATTTATAAGTAACATAGATATAGATAGATAATAAACATTCATTGTAAGATTGTAACCATTGAGCATTTTCATATCTAATTATATTATATATTTATTGCATATTTTATCAAATAAATTTATTAGATTGCAATATTATTGTTTGTATTATAATAATAAAATATTTTTACATACCAAAACATTAAATAATATAGCAATAGAATATAGATTGGACTTTATTTCTTCATATAAATGTAAACATAGATATAGAAGGTATGCAAGTGTACTATTAAGAGCATCTCTAACTCTAGCTCAAATTTAAATTTGAGTGAAAAAACCCAAAAAACTTGCTCTAACATTTGAGTCAAACTTATACTAAATGAAAGGAGACTCATTTTTTTACTCAAATCAAGGGAGACTCAAATGCTTACCCAAATATTTAATGTTGAGATTTCACCAACTTTTAAATTTGGGTTTTTCCTCAATTAAATTTTGGTTTCTCCTTCTTTAAATTTGAGTTTGTCCATTGGAGTTTTTTTGTATCAAATCAAGCTTTTTACTCAAATATTAATTTAGATTTGAGTAAAAATTTGAGTTATGGTTGAAAATTCTCTAATAAATGAATACAAAAGAATTTAGAAATCAAATACTATTAATTAAAAAAAAATTAGAAGTCAAAAAAGTATAGAAAAAATAAAAATTGAATGAAAATAATAAAGAATTTAAAAGTTAAATACGAATAATAAAAGAGTTCAAAAGAACTTAAAGTTAAATAGGTATAGGAAATAAAAATTGAATTAAAGTAATATATGGGTATTATTGACTTTACAATAATAATTAGGGAAAAAATAAAAAAATAAAAATTTTACAGATGCTGAATTTAAGAAGTAGTATAAATATCTATATAATATTAAAGCTAGAAAATTGAATTGCAACTTATAAAAGCACAACAACAGTTAAGATTGATTCAATTTTTATCTACTTTAATCCAAGATTACAAAATTCATCCCTAAATTTGTTTTTCCATTCAAAAATATTATCTTCTCCGCATGGACTCCAATTCAAACAAGTTAACAAACACACTCTTCAATGTCAAATCACTTCATTAATCCACACATACCTCTCTTTTCTCTCTCCCTTACCTTTAGCTTATTTTATTTTTGTTCACTTTAATTTTAAATTATATAATTAAAAAAATAAAAATAAAAATAAATTATTATTTAAAATAAAAATATCACAATATTAACATTCGATTTTTGATATTATAGAGTATCTTCAGACATGATGTTATTGCTAGTAGATATATAGATATAGATAGATAGATATAGATTGAAGGCAAAAGAAAAGAATTTTAATTGTTCAAAATATAAATTTAAAAATTTAAAAATCTTTAAGAGTATGAATTGTTATTTACACACATGTTCCTTTTTTTGTAGTTTTACCTACCCATGAGGCTTTCTTTCTTTGCTTTTCTTTTTTCTTGCATTATTATTATGGATGAGTTTTTTTTTTAGAATGGATGATTAATTTGTCTCAATATTTGTGCCATTATTTAATCAATTATCCTATAATAATCACTGCCATGAATATTTTTTTATTAAATTATCAGATAGATTGATTAAAATACTCCTTATGGCCGGACTACATATGAGGGCAGCCTAAATTTGACACTTTTCATGCAAACTCTTGGAAATATGAAAAATCTTAGCTCTGGTTGTTTGATAGCTATCCTTGTGCAGTGACGACTTGTGGACTTTCCAGTCTTAATAATTGACGTTGTTTCTATATCTTCGCAGTTAACGACTGCAGATGTTCATATTCCTCCTACATCTTCTTCACCACTGACCAAAACTATATCTCCATCACCTATGCAACCACCACCTCTATCACCAGCAGCGCCACCGACACCTATTTTTGTAGGAGACCCTTCCACATCTTTATTGTCGACACCATCACCTATAATAGATGTCACATCATCACTAGTCATCTCATCAACTCTGACCCTCACCATTGTAGTGACACCTTCTCCTACAATTGAAGATGTTACATTTTGTCCACCTCTAGCTGCATTGACACCATCAAATATTTAGCACCACCAGTAGTATCAACAACTGTGACACCAGTAGTTACATTGACAGCCCTACCATCTCATGTAGCAATGAGATCACTGCACATATCACAGATGACACCTTCTACCGAGCATCTTTTACCAGATTCTATGTTATGGGGAGGTTGACACAGGATGATACACTTCTAGGCAGAGGTCATGGGAGAGCCGGATCAAGTGTTCGCGCGGACGACAGGGTCGTGGTAGTCTGGTAGGGGCAAGGACAAGGGTCTTAGACATCATCCACATCATGGCGATGATGTCGATGTAAGCAACCACCTCCATGTGGCATTTAGCTTTGTTGTTTGTATTTTGGTTGTTGTACTGTATAGACTTTCAATTTTTAAATGAATTCATATAATCATTTTATGATTTTCAATTGCATTGTTTAATCATGTTGTCAAATAATGTTGTCAAATAGAACATCAATATTGTACGCAACACATTTAAACCAACTTCAACATAATATATTTAAAAACCAATTAGCACTAACCTTCTAACGATACATTTAATAGAACAAAATAATGTAAATACAACAATGAGAATATTGTTAGATGTTACAACACATAGTAACATAACAATTAATCATGTTTCATAGGTCCAGACATCTCGACATCAGAAATACAGCCAATTTCCTCACTAAAGAGGAAACTTATATATACTTCTTCTATCAACCCTTCTTCAGCACGGTCTCGTGCAATGTGATGGAGGTTGTACCAATTTAAACGGGTTGCTATGCGATTGTCTTCATCTCAAAAATGAATCAATACTCGCCCCAATTCTTGAGGAGTGTCAACTGGCATAACAATGATAATTTGTTGAGACCTTCGTATATTGCAAATGCGCATATCTACACTTAGATTTTCCCTTTTCGTCAACCAATATTGCAATTCCACTATCATGGTGTCATGACCCCTGCTTGAATAATGTAAACGAGGATTCAATGGATAAAAGAACTCATCCTCTAACGCCCAATGATGACCTAGAATTTGACATATTGTTCTCGGACTATAATTCCTGATTCGAGATGAATTGTTTACAATGAGTTGTTTACACAAGTTGAATAAATAGTCCCAAAGGTCATGCTTGTGTTGTTGCACTTGTATGACTTTTCAGCAAGCCACATGATGAAATGACAAACCACTAAAGCAATGAAATTGCCGATGAAGTGACAAAATCCTGAAATTGTTGAACCATGTGTTGCAGTGACTACACATAGTTGATAACACTGTGTGAGTATAGACTGGTGACCTTCTAAGCAAACCATGTGTTGAAGTGGCAAAACCCTAATTTTTCATGGACACTAATGCGGAGAAGACATTAGTGTTACACTCATGCAATGACTATACATATTTTATAAGGCTAAAGAGTATGATGGAATGATGGAATGACTACTTACTGGTGAAAGGACCTTAGATAAGTGTGAGTATAGACTGGTGAGTTTTTCATCAAACCATGTGCTGAAATGACAAAACCCTAATTTTTCATGACATTAATACAGAGAGGACAAAGGCATCACACTCATGCAATGAATGCACACATTTGATAAGGCTAGAGAGTGAAAGGACCTTAGATGATTGTGACACTTGACTACACACTGATGACTTCACATAACTACACACTGCTGGTTTGCCTCAACACTGTGTGAATATTAACTAGTGGGCTTTTCAACACACATTCATGAAGTGACTACATACTGTTGATATGGCCTTGTCAATCATTTTGTTGCCCAGCACTTAATGATGTTTGAATAACTCTTCTTTTTCATCAACACAATGATTGAATTGAATCAACTTTTCTATAACCCATGTGCTGAAGTGACAAAACCCTGATATTGTACGATCAGGATTTTCAAACCACTATATAAACACCTTATGCGTGGTCGATATGACATACATTTAATATTATGTCTACATCAAATTTCTCTACAGTATATAACAATCGCAGGCGTGAACAGGTTTTGGCTGTTAAAAGAGCTAAACGATAATTACAAGGATGAGAGATGTTTCGATCCAAAAGAGTATTACGTAAGAGTACGACGAGATTGGGCATTTCATGCTAACGAATCAGACGCATTATGCACACAATTAAGAGAACTTGGCATACTGGTGCCACATAGGCGTTCACTAACGATGTACCGAAGGAATATAGAGTACTACGAATTAGTAGTAAAATATATCCAAAGAGAGAATAATAGAATGATGGTGCATAGGTTTCGATGTTTTTTCTCCAACGAGCAGTAGATGTGATGGGAATTGCATATGGATGAGAGTTGACACCAGTTGAGCAAAATATTATATTGTCTAATGAACAATACCTATCAAAAGATTATATGTCCGATGAAGATTAACAATTGAACTTAGTGTCCAAATGTTAGTTTCAATCTCATATCTTGATAAGTAGTAATCATTGTTAAATAATCTCATAGTTTTTCAGTGTAATAAGTGTATTGTCATATCACCACTTTGACAGTTTCAAGTCATGTCATTGTTTTATCAATGTATTGTCATATCCCAAATTTAACAGTGTCAAATCATGTAATTGCTTTCTGTCAATTCATGTTACAACTTGGTAGTGTGATGTCATGTCAAATTTATATATAATGTCATTGTAATTTTAAAATGCACAAATAGACCTATATAAACTATCATTTATAACTACGTAAATTATAGGAAAAATAATGTGTAGGCGCACATCAAATAGGAAATCCAGTCAAACCATCGAAGGTTCTTCATCACGCAATGAATAATTTTGTTCACCTCCAGCCAAAGAACGTTGTGGAACATAGTTCCTTCTATTGGATCATATACAGATTTTGGTGGTGTAATGTGGTATGGACAAAAACATGAGTTCCGCAATGAGCTCATCGACGCTTATCACCCATTCGGGCACGTTGGACACGTAATTGTTGGGCCTGCGACCTACAATGCGCCTCCAGATGTTCATATCGAACCCACACTAAGATGATAACAGTTATATGACAAACATTGTGAGCTTGAAGTATATTGTCGTTAACATGGACTAGCAGTTCCAAAGGCACGTTCGACTGATATATGTAATCCACAGAACTCAAATAACCACATGACAAGATCATAGCATGGCTTGAACATGAAAATGATTAGATGTAGCATTGGTTTGATTGTTTGAATTCAATCGAGTATGAAAAAACTGAGCATTTCGATCGTAACTAAGTCGAGATTGAAATTTTAGAGGACCCGTTATTTGTTTTCGATCCTGAACTTTTTGATTTTTTGGATTTAAGTGATGATGCATCAGACAGTTTTGTTCCATTAACTTTATGTGTATGTGATTAACCTCTATATTGTTATGAATATCAACCACATTATTGACAAACTATATTTTATACAGTCTCATATAATAAATTTGTTTTTTTTAACGCATAAGTATCATTTTTCATATGCACATAGTTTGTATAATTTTGGGGGACAAATTGCATTGTTTGATGAATTTATGACATTGTTTTGGAATATATAAATTAATTTACATAAAATGAAAATTGAAAATATGATGAATTTTATCCCAAAATTCATTGTTTTTAACAAATTTTATTTTGTGCATTTTACGCAGTGTAATGCAATGAATTTACTTCTTTAAGTCACAAGTTGCATTTTTTGGTATCTTCTTGATTTGTAAATTTTAAAGCGAAACATGGTGAATAATTTGTTTTTGATTGACACAATTTTTTTAAGTAAAACAAAATTGAAACATGATGAATATTTAAATATCACAAAAAAAAAATTAGATTACACTTAAAATCGTCATTTGAAATGATGACATTAAGTGTCATTTCAAATGACGATTTTATGAGTTTATTTATCTAGAGTTGAAAATTTTTCTCAAGTTTAAAAACGCCATTTAATTGATGTGTTTAACCATGAAGGCATAATTTTAAATGACATTTTGAACAAAAGATTAGGTTTGAAAAATAAGTTTAAAAGTGATTGATTTTTGGATTAAAAAGTTTTTGAGAGGCATGGTTATGGTAGTTCGACTAACCCTCCTAAAAAATGAAACAGGAAGCTCCAATTACAAGCTCGTTCACAATGGATGAATTTAGTCACATTAACACACTTTGTTTGCCAATATGCTATGACATACATACACACTTGTTGTTTTCACATTTTCAATCCATCGGTCACCATGATACATGATGATGTAATAATTCTAGTACATGAAGTAATTATATGATTAAAATTTTATTTCAGTGTATCATTTTGATCACTTAAGAAAAAAAAATATTTCAAAAATAATGACTAAAACTTTTGAGAAACATACCTAAATATCTCAAAACACCGCAAAATATTTTAAAATATCTCAAAACACGTCAAAGGATTGAGATTTTGATTCTATAACTTCATCATTTTGTCTTCTTTAAAAATAGAAACATTTTGATTGTTTTGATTAGGGGTGTTCAAATTTTTAATTTCCCGCAATTTTCTACCCTACTTGACCCTATTGATCGGCTAACCTAAAAACCCTAACGCCTTCTAATCTCGCCTCTCTCACCCTCTTTGTTCTTTGTGCTAGCTGACCTAGCTCAGTTGCTCGACTCTCTAGCCCTCTCTATTCTCTGTGCTAGTTGACCTAGCTTAGTCGCTTGACTCTTCGCCTCTCTGCTCTGAGTGGTCTTTGGCCTCTCTTCGAGTCCTAGCCTCCCAAGTTCTCCCTGTCTCTCTCTATCTCTTTCTCAATTGCCTATTTAGGGGCAATTCGATGCCATTAAATTAATAGTCTTAGGTAATGATTTCTTCGAATAGATTGTGCCAGGTCTATCGATAGTTGGTGGTTTTGCTTAGGGCTATTGATTAGGGCTACAAATACTATGATTTTTTAGATTTTATAGCTCTGTGCTCTCTCTCTCTCTCTCTCTCTCTCTCTCTCTC